TGTAACTAAAGCCTTAAACAACAAAAACGAGGGGAAAAGTGAATAATTTTGTCTTTGAAAACTGTTATGAGTTCCCAGAATTGCACGTTTTATAGAAAAGCAGGTGGTTTATAGCAAATCAAAAAGTAGGGCTGAAAAAATATATTCTAGTATTTATATATATTCTAGATATTTGTATAATATATATATATATATATATATATATATATATATATAGTCTTCAGAAAGAAATTAATTTCTTCAAAAAGCCAAAAGTACAATGGCATCTTCTTTAAGTCTCTAAATAATAGTACATGTATAGAATTTTTAAAATGTTGGATGAAACTATATGTGCAAGAAGGAGTTGGTTCAGCTTTATGTGTTTATATTATATTTAATTTTTGTAGTTTGTAAATATAATTATTTTTACAGAGAGGAAGGGAGAGGGATAGAGTTAGAAACATCGATGAGAGAGAGTCATCAATCAGCTACCTCTTGCACACTCCCTACTGGGGATGTGCCGGCAACCAAGGCACAAGCCCTTGACCGGAATCGAACCCGGGACCTTTCATTCCACAGGCCGACGCTCTATCCACTGAGCCAAACCAGTTTCGGCAGTAAATATAATTATCTTTAAAGCTTCTCTGTGAGTGAACCCTACATGTTAAGATATTTTGAAAGGCAAATGTGTTCCTTACACTGAGCATAACGAGATGAAGAAGTGGCCTGTAAATCTCTGTCACTGAAATGAATGATGGTCAATAATTATCAACAGCATTTATTTATATTTAAACTCTACTTGCCTGTATTCCTACACCACAAATTCATCTTAATGAATTTGAGATAGTCTTAAATGCCAAGGCAGCACTTTGCAAGAAGAATATTTGGTCTCCTGGAGAAAGAAAAAACAAAAAACAATAATCTGTTTGGTCTATCTTGAGATCGATATTCATTTAAAGATTACCTGAAAGTTTAAATTCACAATCCATCTCTCTTATAGGTGAATCAAATTTAAGTAATCGAAAGCTTGTCAGCGCTATTGCTTTTTCATCTTTCCTGCATCTAAAATGGTAGCAGTCAGCAATAGATTCCCACTTCCCAAAATGTTCTAGTCCACACAGGGTTTGCTTATAACAAAAAATGAACTGTTCTTTCCATGAATAGTAGTTTAGTATCATGTTTTAAATATAATGCTTAGGATTCATTTATTTAACATGCTATCCCAACATGTATTGAGCAGTAGGAATTTATATTTGTCATCAATCCTTACTCCTTGTAATCTTTACTGTGTTTCAGAAATTATACTGTCGTTAATTCCAAAATCATCGTGGTCACAATAAGGCCTGAACCCAAAACAACGGATTCGTTCCTGGAGATAGAACTAGCTCATCTGTCTAATGTAAGTATTATTCACTTGCTTGTAGAATTTATCTTTTACCAGCCATCTTTTAATCAATAAGACCATCACACATTTTCTAGGCTTTTTAGAGTTGCAATTTGTTATGAGGATATGTATTTATAGAAATGGAATGCCATATTGTTTTATGCTTTTGTTCATTACAAAATTTTCTTCAGTTTATCTGAGGTAATAGAAAATATTTTACCCGTGTACACATCTTTATTAGGCTCTGAGCTAGGCAATGGGGGAGATCATTATGAATAAGTACATGTCTCACCACAAGGTAGAGAAGACTGCCATGAAAATATATAGATTTAATTCAGGGTGGGTGGGGCAAAAGTATGTTTACAGTTATTCATATAGAAAATAATACAATAATTAAAAAATAATAATACAATGAAAAACTTGGTGTTTCATGTACTCACAACTGTAAACCTACTTTTGCCCCATCCTGTTGTTTAGAGCTTGACAATATGACTCTCAAATTATTTTTAAGGAATGACTAATAAAAAAAGAAGGAATGCTGAAAAATAATAAAATTAAAGGAAGCTGTACAACCAGATGTTAATATATATTCCTGACTCAAGAATGAATAGGTTAGTGGACAAAAGGGAGAGTCCAGTAATCAAGTTTGTATGCGAGGCAGAAATCATATCATTACCAGTGGTGAAAATAATTATATTATTTGGGTAACTGTTTAATAACTTGAAAAAAAGTAAGTAACCTTGATAGTTACTATACATTAATCTAACTTCTAGAGATAGTCATATTTGAAAGCAATAACTATGATTTGATATAAGAATGTTGCCCTCAAACGTTTGTAATTGGCAGCCTGGGAATAAGAATTATAAGAATGCTAGGAAAATACATGGGCAAATAATCATATATTCTCCAGGATTCCACACCAAAAGCAAAGATTATAAGGAAAAGGGATGCCTTTATTATATAAAATTTAACACTAATAAAATATAATGATAAAACAAAAAATATATAACATTTAAAGATAAATGGCAGAAAAAATACATTTCAACATATTTTTCAAGCAAAATATGTGTATATTATGTTAAAAGTTTTAACAAAACCTCAAACAAAAATTATAAATATAATTTACCAATAGTAAAGGAAACAAAATACAAGAATAAACTTGCAAAGAAATAATATAAGCAATAAATAACATTATGCCAAAAAATACCCACATTATTAATGAAGAAATGCTCATTGGCTACTATTTTTGTAAAAATTGTCAAATATAAAGTATTTATATTCAATACTAAAGATGGTGACATTTTAGAGAAATTAGGCAACTTTATAAATTCTTGTTGAATAAACTATTCTAATGTTTCTGAAAACCTTTTAAATGGTTCACCTTTTAACCATCAATTTTACATATAGGAATTTATTCAAAGGAAATAAAGAAAAATGTGTCAGCATTTTCATTTAACTATTTATGGTAGCAAATTATTTTCAAACCACCTAAATATCCAGTATAAATATATTTATTATCTAGTTAAAAATACATTAAGTTGCAGGCAGTATTTATAGTTTATGCAGGCTGGGACAAATGTAGGTTTACAATTATCTATATTTCAAATAATACAATAATTCAATAAAACTCTTTGTAGATCACACACAATGGTATGGTGATTACCAGCAGGAAAGAATCAGGGAAAGTAGAGGAGAATGTAAAAGGCGTAAGTGGTGATGTAACAAGACTTGATTTGGGTTGGTGAGCACATAATATAATATGTAGATGATGTATTTTAGAATTCTACATAGTTTTATTAGCCATTGTCACCCCAATCCTATATAATAAAACCCTAATATGCAAATCGACTGAACGGTGGATTGACTGGTTGCTATGAACTGACCACCAGGGGGCAGATGCTCAACATAGGAGCTTCCCCCTGGTGGTCAGTGCGCTTCCCCAGGGGGAGCACTGCTCAGCCAGAAGCCAGGCTCATGGCTGGCGAGTGAGGCGGGGGTGGTGGGAACCTCTGTGGCAGCACTAAGGAGCAGCAAGCCAATGGGTAGGAAGCAGCAAGCAGGCAGGTGGTAAGGAGGGAGGGTTCCGGACTGTGAGAGGGCACAGGCCAGGCTGAGGGGCTCCCACCATCTCCCCTAGTGCACTAAATTTGTGCACATGGCCTCTAGTAAATTCAATAATAAAGAATGAAAATAGGAATAAACTCTGTATTTCACAATTGAATGCCTACTTTTCTCCCTCCCTATATGCAGACAACAGCAGAAGTTTTAAACATAAGACAAAGGGTAGTTAACTCCAGGGTACTCCAGAGTAGGAGAATGGGTGGGCAGCATTTCAAAGTGCTAATTCAAGGGTCAGAAATGGCTCCGTATTACCCCCTAGATGCTCCAGTGATCTAAATCTAAATACTCCATTTCAGAATGACAAGAACTCTTCCTTAACTCCAAACAACTGCAAGTGGAATTCTTTGCATTTTGTTCAGTGCTTTTTAGAAATTTAAAATATTTACTTATCCTTCAATCACTTTGAATACTTAAGTCATTAATGAGGAGGGGCAGGGAAGGTGATTTCTGTTATGGCTTTTGTAATTATATGATTACTAGAGGCCTGGTGCATGGATTCATGCACTGATGGGGCCCTTCCTTGGCCTGTAGGGATTAGGCCAAAACTGGCTCTCGGACATCCCCCAAAGGGTCCCAGATTGTGAGAGGATGCAGGCCAGGCCGAGGGACTCCACGGGTGCACAATTGGGGCTGGGGAGGGACCATGGGAGGGCTCTAGAGTGTGTCCATTCATCTTGCCCAGTCTTGATCCACCAAACCCCAGCAGCAAGCAAGTCAACCAACCAATAGAAGCATCCACCCCCTGGAGGTCAGTGTGCATTATATGCTAATGGTGGAATGGTTGGACATTTAGTATATTAGGCTTTTATTACCAAGTGTACTGGTTAATAATGTGGATTTTTTTCAATAGATGGAGTTACACATATGTTGATATATGTGCAATTTGATATGTATGCTATTTTGTTGTATTGACAGCAAGCTTCAAAACTTCATATGTCAAATTTGCTGTATTAACATCATAGATATTCTTATGCTTGAAAATGTCAAATTTTGTGCCAAAAAAAGAGCATTTGTGGGAAGTTTTAATTCATTACTTTATTTTGAAGAAAAGTGCTGCTGAAAGTTATCCTATACTTTGGGAGGCTTATGCTAAACATGCTCTATTTCAAGATAGTGATTATTTCGATCTGAAAGACAAAGAATGTCCAGTCAACTGGAAAAAAGTTTGAAGACCAACAATTACAAGAATTTTGAAGATGCATGTCAAACTCAAAACAACTTGCAGAAAGAATAATGTTGTTCAGTAAACGATTTCTGATTGTTTGCAAGCAATGGGAAAGATTTTAAAGGAAGGAAAATGGGTGCCATATCAACTGAATGAAAGACAAATGGAAAACCGAAAAGTCATCAGTAGAATTTGCTTCAATGGCACTAAAGAAAGTCTTTCTTTTTTCGCATCAAATTGTGACCAGCGATGAAAAGTGGATATATTTAGAGAATCCCAAATGCACAAAATCATGGGTTGATCAGGTCAACCATCAACATGGACTGTAAGGCCAAATTGCTCTGGAAAGAAGACAATGCTCTTCTTTTGGTGGGATCCAGAAGGTGTGGTGTATTATGAGCTTCTAAAACCAGGAGAAACAGTTAATACTGATCACTACTGACAACAAATAATCAATTTGAACCAGCCATGATGGTAAAACTACCAGAATGATTCAGAAGGCAAGGCAGAGTAATTTTGCTTTATGATAACGCACCACCACACACTTCAAAACCAGTTAAAGACACGTTAAAAGATCTTGTCTGGGAAGTATTAACCCACCCGCTGTATTCAACAGACCTCGTTCCTTCAGATTACCAATTGTTCTGAACAGCACTTGAAAACCTACAAAGAAGTGGAAAACTGGGTCTATGAATTGTTTGCCTCAAAATAAGAACAGTTCTATTGGGATGGTATCCACAAATTACCTGAAAGATGGGGGAATGTGTAGCTAGTGATGGACATTACTTAGAATAAAGTACTTTTGATGTGTTTTTTTGAAATTATCATGTTTTCTTTTATTACAAAATCTGCATTATTAACCAGTACACCTAGTATATAGATACTTCCAATATTAGTGTAAGCCTATCTCCTGTGTTGTACACACAAAGGTTTTTTTTATTCCTTGCAAAATTTTTATGAAGTTGACTTTTACATGCAAGTAACAGAAGCACAAAGTGATTGTCATTTTTCCAAGTTCATATACTTAGTGAATGACATAATGGAATTTATAATCATATTGTTTTACACAACCTATTTTGTAATATCTGATTTTTCCTAAAATAAAAAAATAAAAAGCCTTGTTTTATAAACTGTGACAATTACCTTTTTTGTAAACCACTTTTTACTAAAATGCTTCAGGCTTCCTAAATTGTTTAATGAAAATATCAAATCTCTCAGCAATAACTTAAATATCATAATTAATAATTAATCTATTAGGTCTTTTCTTACTTTTGCCATATGATCCTAACTTTGAGAGTGTGTTTGATCATTACATTATCTATTTCCTCAAACCTTAGAATAGACATGATTTCCTCACTGCATTGAAACCTGAGGAATAATTTTAACATTGCTTTTAAGTTTGGGATTTATTTCTTTGTATGCTTCAAATTTGTTATCACTGGCAAGTGTGGCTCAATATGTACATAAATACATATAACACATGCACATGTAACTATGCCCATCATTAGGCTGCTTTGGGTCTGACAGGTCTGAACCTGCTGTGACTTTTTAAGGTGGGTAATATCCCTTTAAAATGAGTTAGGAGAATAAGTTATCTTAGTTATCTTGTGCTTTATTAACAGTGCAAGCTCTAATACATATTATTTTTTCAAATAAAATGTATACAGTTCCATTTCTAATGAAGAGGTAGATTGGACTATCTGACCTGCAGTTTCTTCAGTCTAATCTTTTCATCATTCTTTTTATTTCTTCTTGTGAGCATCAACTCCAATGGCCTTGTTAGGGCGATACTGCTATCTTTCAGGACTGAAAAAATGCACCAGGTTTATTGTAATTTTCAAATTGCTCATACTCATAAGAGATCTCATGAGAATTTTGGACTTGTGGGAGTGTGTATTTTTTGCCATATTTGCTTGCATATGAATAGGATCAAAATAACAAATTAAGGAGTTTGTTTTATGTGCATAAACTAAGATTAATCATCAACCATGGCCTTTGTAAATAATAGTGGGAAACATAATGGAAGACTGTAATGAATATACTTGTTAACATAGATAAAAATGAGAAGCAAGGAAAAGAGATCCCAACATTTATCAGCGGGTATTTTTATGACTATCAAAGGCTGATAATAACCTAAGAAATTAAAAACCACTTCGCAAAGTCCAGGCTTTGCATCTATAATTTCTATAAAGGATGTTTGTACACCTTTACTTTTATTTATTTTAAAATTTAGATTCTATTGACCTCTTCCCAGCTGCTCCCACCCCCAGCACATGCCCTCACCCCCACCCCCTACCATCTGTACTCATTGGTTATGCTCATATGAATGCATATGTTTATTTTAAAAATTACTTTTCTACCCTTGTTTTTGTCCATGTGGAAGAAAGAGATTTCTGGTATTTTGCTTGTGTAAAGCTCTAGGTAATTTTTAAAGGAGCGTCATGTAATGCTAACTAGACAAGAAGATTGATGGCTCTGCCAACAGCTGAAATTGAGATAGAATTGTTCTCTACTTACAGCTATTTGGGGTGTATCTTAAATTTCAGTAAGTGTCTTTCTCGATAACATTTTAAATTCTGTTTATTTTTATTCATAATACATAGCTAATATTCTTCAAAAAGATTTAGAATAATTATTCTGTTGTTGTTGAAGGGCTCCGCGAATTGTTTCAGTTAAGAATCACATAGTAAGTATTAAGGTGTCTATTCATCTATGCTGTTGTAGAGTGAATGCAGCAATAGACAACATGTAAACAAATGGGTGTGATTGTGCAATAAAATTTATTTTCAAAAATAGGTAGCAGACCAGATTGGTCTTCTGGTCCATGTATATTGTCAATCCCTGTAGGGTAAACAGAATAATGGCCCCAAAAGATGTTCACACCCTAATCCCCAGAACCTGTTAATATGTTATGTTACACATCAAAAAGGACTTTATAGATGTGATTAAAAGTAAGGACATTGATGCCCAGCCAGTGTGGTTCAGGTGATTGAGTGCCATCCCCTGAACCAGGGGTCACAGCTCAATTCCCAGTCAAGGCACATGCCTAGGATGCAATCCCTAGTAGGGGGATTGCAGGAGGCAGCATATCAATGTCTCTCTCTCTCTCTCTCTCTCTCTCTCTCTCTCTCTCTCTCTCTCTCTCTCTCTCTCTATTTCTCTCTCTCTCTTCTCTATGTTCATCAGGGATATTAGTCTATAATTGTCTTTCTGTGTCATGTCTTTATCTAGTTTTGGAATGAGGATAATGGTGGCCTCATAAAATAAGTTTGGGAACCTTCCCTCTTCTTGAATTTCTTGGGATAGTTTGAGTAGGATAGGTATTAGTTATTTCTTTAGTAAAATTTGCCTCTTAAGCCATCTGGTCCAGGACTTTTGTTTGCTGGGTTTTTTGTTTGTTTGTTTGTTTGTTTTTGGTGATTTTATTTCATTAGTTGTAATTGGTCTATTCAGATTTTCAGAATCTTCCTGATTCAGTTTTAGAAGATTATATGCTTCTAGGAATTTTTACATTTTGTCCAGATTGTTAATTTGTTGACATATAGTTGATTGTAATATTTTCTTACAATCCTTTGTATTTCTGTGGTGCCCATTGTTATTTCTCCTCTTTCACTTCTGATTTTATTTATTTGGGACCTCTCTTCTTTTTTCATGATGAACCTAGCTAAGGCTTGTCAATCTTGTTTAAGTTTTCAAATGTATTCACATAGCCAAGATTTTGAAGCAGCCAAGTGCTCATAATTAGATGAGTGGATAAAAAAAAAAAGCTGTATATTTAAGCAATGGATTAATATTCAGCCATAAAAAAGAATGAAAGCTTACCTTTTATGACAGCATGTATGGACCTAGAGGGTATTTTGCTATGTGAAATAAGCCAGTCAGAGAAAGACAACTACCATTGGATTTCACTTTTATGTGTAATCTAATGATCAAAATAAACAAACAAAATAGAAACAGATTCACAGATACAGATCACAGTCTGACATTTTAGGTGGGGGGGAGGTTGAGGGATGGATAAAATAAGTGAAGGAATTAAACAAACCCCTCATAGGCATAGGCAATAAAACGGTGATTAACAGAGAGAAGGTGGGTAGGGGTAGGTAGAAAAGGGTAAAGGGGATAAATGTTTATGGGAATGGACTAGACTAGGAGTGGTAAACACAATACCACAAGTTGATATATTATAGAATGGTACAATTGGAACATTTAATTAACCAATGTAACCTCAATAAATTCAATAAAACATTTTTAAAAGGACATTGAGATGGGACAATTATCATAGATTATCTGAGTAGATCCAATGTAATCACATGAGCCATTAATCATGGATAACCTTTCTTTATGGCTATATGGTCAGAGAGAAACAAGGAAAGGAATCAACTGCCATTGCTTACAGTAAAGATGAAGGAAGGGGGCACAGCAAAAGGACATTGTCTAAAAGCTGCCTCTAAAAGCTAAAGACACTTAGCTTCTACCAGGGCGGAAATGTGGCGGCAGTCCCACAACTGCAAAGAACTGAATTCTGTTGAGACCTGAATGAGCTTGAAAATGGATTTACTCTCAAGACCCTGCAGAAAGGGGTGCAGTTTAGCCGATGCTTTGATGTCGGCCTCGTTAATCTTTTGAGCAGAGACCCAGGCTTCTGACCTACAAAAACTGCAAGATAATAAATTTGTGTTGTTCTATGCATCTAAGTTTATGGTAATTCATAACAGCGGCAATAGAAAAGTAATAACCCTGCATTGCAAAATTCATTTTTAGATTATGAAGGTAATAATTGTATACATTAATAGTGCCATTTTGAATCAGACATATTATAATACTAAGGATACATTACTCAATAAAAATCAGTTAGCAAGTAGAGATTACATTTTGTTCTGCTGATGATTATACCAGTTTTTTAGGAGCCTGATTAAAGGAATGACCAGACAGTGAGAATGGCCATGTAAGGTGGAAGTAGATATTGGGGGAAATTGTAGGAAGCTGTAAGATGGTATCACCTGTGCAGCCACGGAAGTACGTTGTGAAACCAGGTGTTGGAGGCCAGGGACAACTCTGATATTTACAGACATGTTGTACTCTTGAAGCACTTTAGCAGAACTCTGTAAGCAAATACTGGACTGGAGCAGTGAAAAACACTCTGCCAGACCTTGTCTCTACAACAACTCTATGGAAGAATTATTTTAATATATATATATATATATTTTATTGATTTTGTACAGAGTGGAAGGGAGAGAGATAGAGAGTTATCGATAGAAACATTGATGAGAGAGTCATCGATCAGCTGCCTCTTGCACACCCCCTACTGGGGATATGCCCGCAACCAAGGTACATGCTCTTGACCAGAATCGAACCCAAGACCCTTCAGTCCCCAAGCCGACACTCTATCCATTGAGCCAAACCGGTCCCGACTGGAAGAATTATTAAGACACATTATTTTATCCTCTTGGCTGTAAAAAGAAAATACCTAGGGTGTATGTTGTATACATAAAGTATCTATTTATTTAGGTATTTCTTAAAGTTATATTACACTTCAACACACAAAAAATATAGAGTTTTGCCACATTCTTTTTGCTGAGAGGTGCACCAGACTCCTGTGCATCCATTGTTAGGAATGATGTAATCATATGGGTAAGACATACATGTGGAGGCAATGATTTTCTTTGCAGGGTAAACATATGAGTAATTACTGATAGTGGTTCTATTTTTATTTTTATTTTTTTTACTGTTTCTCATATGTCAAAAGGAAAGTATCCATCTAAAAATAATATATATTCAGGTTAGTGATATATCTCAGAAATGAAAGAAGCAAGTTGTTATCCATCCACAAAAATAGTGTCATCTGGTTAATAGGAGCTACTGAGTAAACCATATTGCAGAAGCTGAAGTAAATATATGCCCTCTCCTTGTGTTCTAATTAAACAGCTGCCAACTCCTCGAAAAGAGCTTTGTAACAGGAATGTGACTCATCCTGATAAACAATGTTCTGCACTTCTCACTTTGATGGCCTTCATATCATTCTGCTATAAATATTGAAGCCAACTCTTTCTTTTCCATCTCCTTGGTTTGATTTCTTCCCATTCTGATCCATTCAAAAATTTTATATCTCCATCCATCGTTCTATATAAAAGGCTTACATGCAAATCGACTGGACAGCAGAATGACCAGTTGCTATGAAATGACCACCAGAAGGCAGGTGCTCAACTCAGTAGCTGCCTCCTATTGGTCAGTGTGCTCTCACAGGGTGGAGCACTGCTCACCCAGCAGCCCTGAGCCGGGCTCACTGTTGGCGAGTGCAGCTGTGGTGGTGAGAGCCTCTCCCACTTTAAGGGCAGCGCTAAGGATATCCAACTGATGGCTTAGGCCCATTCCCTGGAGGGAGCAGGCCTAAGCCTAAGCCATCTGCAGGACATCCTCTGAGGTCTTTCAGACAGTGAGAGGGTTCAGGCCAAGCTGAGAGACCACCCCCTACCCAAGTGCACAAATATCATACATCAGGCCTCTAGTATTCCTATAAAGTAAGAACACAGTATTGCATTTTCAGTGAGGCTCTTATATTTTATATACCTCTGAGTCATCCTCTCAAAAAAAAACAAACAAAAAGACCCATGTTTGTTCTTCTTAAAGTTATTTTAAAATACTAAAATATGAAACAATACTTCCCATAACCTTGAAAAGAGGGTTAGAGAACATTCAATAAACTATCTCTTATTGAGTTTCATATTGTATCTTTTTCAAGGGTACCATTTCCTTGGGAGGTGTATCACACTTGTAGGGACTATGAATCTGCTTATAGGTTGAGCCATAACCTAAAAAGGGTTCCCTCCCATTGCTCAGCTTTCAATGATGCCATATATATGACCTAGGAAAAATGCACATCTAGTAAAATCTTACTTCCTTTAGCACTCATTCCTCAGATTTTTAAAATTGTGTTTTCTCAAGTAATATGAGAATTATAAACAGAATATAAATTAGTCTTTTGAAGATCATGTCAGTCATTTTGAAACTGTTCTTGAAGAATTCCTAAAATCTATCTGTGCAGTTATATAATAACTAGAGGCCCAATGCATGAAATTTGGGCATGGGCCTTAACCTTCGCAGCCCCAGCTTCATCCAGAAGGTCATCAGATCATTAGGAAGGATGTCCAGAGGGTCATTTGGCTGTCCAGTCTAATTAGCATATTATGATTTTATT